TGCAAAACATATCGTCGTTTAAAGTACAAAATCGCGTATAGTGATTCTGCAAAACCTCGTAACTGACTTTGGGCCCAAAACGATATTTGCTCACCGGAAGCTACTGGCATCAAACCCTTATTTACTTACACTAAAATATCGTTACTTAGACATAAGAGGAAGAGATAATTTGCGATAAAAGAGAGACCCGTTCTGAAATAAGACAAGTTTTATTCTCTCCTATAAAATTAAGGCAACCTCACATTCGAGGTTTTGCATTTTCTTGATACGCGGTTTTGTACTTTAAACGACGATATGTACGTATGTATGTATGCGTGTAAATAAGAAAACCCGCGATAAAATGCAATCTTTATAAAATCGCATGAGTACTTTATAAATGAGCTTTAGTATTTGATTGTACATAAAGTGTGCACTCACACAGAGCCAATAAATAAATGCAATTATCTCGACAACTGTAAAAAGTGGGAGTGGCGCGCACTAACAACCACAACTGGTAAGCTATTGTTGAGTAACTGCACCTACCACATACCCACCAACAAATGCAGCTGAACAAAAAGCTTTTTGCGCCACTCTCAACAACTCACGTTCACACCCTCCCATACTTCTGCAGTACGAAAATGCACAAACTGAATAGTCTCTACGTAAATACATATATATATATATATACAGTATTGGACATATCTATAGCACCCCCCTTTCAAAGCGATATTGTTTGCCACTTATGTTTAGTTATTTGTTTTTAAGAATTTTCAATTAAAATACAGTTCATTCTCTAACAAAACCCATATAAACCCATGTTTTAAACTTTTTAAAAGACCGCAAAAAAGCGCAACAAACTTTCCCTTAAATTTCAAACCTTTTTCTCAGAAGCGTTGATTTTTTAGAATTTTTTTTTGTCTCATTTGCTTCCATATAACGACTAAACACAATTTATTTTTATATAGCAGAAACCAGCAACATCCTCGGCGAAAAAAATTCTAAAAAATCAACGGTAATTTTTAGCCACTTGAAACTTGCACATTATTAGACTAAAATTGAATGGGCTATAAAACTGTGTATTCAAAAAAATTCGACCGCTTCTGAGAAAAAAGTTTGAAATTTGGGTGAAAATTTGTTGCACTTTTTTGCGGTCTTTTAAAAAGTTCTAAACTTGAGTTTATGTGAGTTTTGTGAGAGAATGAACTGTATTTTAATTGAAAATTCTTAAAAATAAATAAATAAACATGAGTGGCAAACAATATTAGTTTGAAATGGGGGTGCTATTGTATTGGCCAATACTGTATATATATTAGGACTATGCGAGGTGGGGGATATTGCTTTGATAAGTGCGCTGGGCTCCAATCTAACCGGTGGCGGATTGGTCGGCTGTTCGTCGTGTTGCATTTATCATAGCTTTGAAGCGATCTTGAACCAAATGCAGGTTGTTGCACCGCATGAAAAAGCTCTCTCACTCACGGAGACAAAATGTCCAAAGGTAACATTTGTACACATAGTATATGTATATGATTATGTAGGTAAGTTGATTTTTGTCACATGGGGCGACGTATACACAATGTGGCAAGTTTACTCGTTTGAGGTGTTAACTTGTTTATGAAATTGATGAACATTTTTGCATCTATAAAAAATATGTGAACTATTTTATAAATGTTTCGAAAAATGTTGGGTACAAAATTGGAAATTTTTTAAATGAATCACGAGCGAGTGAACCAAAGGCGAGTGTAATGCCTGCCTGTACGATACAGATGGAAGACAACGCGGGCAATAATGTCTTAAACAGTACAACGGTGTAAGTTAAATTATTAATTCTCAAACCTGCAGGCAAATAAATTTGATGGTAGAAATGAGAGAACTTGGTATGCAAATATTTTGACATATATATGGGCCATTCCATTGGGACTGGGGGGATATTTTATCCGACAATGTGATCAATTGTGGATTATTTCTATGTCATCGGAACTTATACAACAGCGAAAGATATTTTTTAACATAGAACGATAAATAATGTATAAAACTGCTTTGAATGAATGTGACTGGTGGGACACTGAAAATAACTATATTTTACCTTTGTGCACTCAAAGATGAATTGTAGCCAAAACACTTAATTTTCCCAAAAGATTTTATGGGCTATACGCTTTCGTTTCCAATAAAAACTAGGCTGCGTTGCAGACGTGTTTAAAGCACAGATGGTATAGAACCGATGGCCCGGTATAAACTATTAGTTCTGATATTCATATCAGTACTACATAAAAAATAATAATATTTTTCAAGGCGTAAATAAAAGGCCAAGTTTGTCTGATATTTTTTTTTTTTAGCAGAAATTAACGTGCAGTTTTTTTTGGTTATTATAGGCATTCAGAAAAAGACTTGGAAGCTCCATATTATTGCCATAAAAGTCTTGAAAAATTCTGAAAAAAAGAACCAAAGTATACCGAACAGCATGAAAAATAAAACACGAAGAACCCGAAAAGTGCCGAAAATATCCTACATTTTTTTGCAAATTCTAAACCTCCGCATATATCCGGAATGTAAAACATTAAAAATCCCGAAAAGCTTTGAAGAAAAAATAATAACTTTTCTAAAAATTCCAAACATTCCCGAAAAAGTACCTAACAATCTCGAAAAAATCCTGAGGTTAAAAGACGAATAATGTTGAATAAATTCCGAAAAGTAAAAGCTATAGTATCCCGAGAAAACCTTAAATAGTCTCGATGAACATCTAGAAATTCGAAAAAGTTGTCCACAATGCGGAGTTTTATTAGCTAACCAGAAAAGCTTTAATAGCTATTGCAAACATACTTTTTACCTGATTTCCCCAATAATGCCAGAGTCACATATCAATACCACCCTATATGTAACTGCATACATAAATGAACCCATGACATCAGAACTGATTTTATATTAATATACGTATCTTCACAAAATTAAGATAGTGAAAATAATTTCTAAAGCGCCAAAGGAAACACATTGAATACCATTTAGATAATAATAATGGATTTCGTGTTTGGCCGACCTTCTTCTCCAATTTGTGGCGTGCGCCTTGTTGTCATCACACAACGGGGTGGGAGACCTACAGTTTTACGCCGTATCCAAACGGCGATTGTTTTTTTGTGAGAACGCTAGGACGTTTGCCATTGCCTGCCGAGAGGCGACCGCTATTATAAAAAACAAAATTTTTTTTATTTTTTATATTTTGATGTTGGGTTGAACAGGGCTTGAACCCAGGCCCTGCAGAATGGTAGGGCGCACTGTTAACCACTACAACACAGCGGCCGCCAGATAAGTATGTATGTAAATATCAACGTACACTTTCAAAGCAAAACAGGATTGGCTTTCAGTGTCTATGGTCAGAATTCTTGTGTGCGAAACCACACAGCACGACAACTGAGTAATAAACCGGCAAAAGTGTGGGGAAAACAAGTCGTAAACAAGAATAACACACATAAACTCGTATAAAATTTTATTTAAAAATAAGCCACATAGCCACGAATAAATTGTCTTATATATATACACATATGTACATATATATGTACATGCATACATATGTACATATATACAAAGGCAGAACCACATACCAGTCAGGCAGCAAATGAAAGTCAAAACAAAAATTGCGCAGCAGAAAATTAAATTCATAAACATGCTAAAAGAAGAATAATATTAATAAACAGAAGACTGGAGCAAGTTGAGCGTAATAGGAGAAAAAGGGAAAATTTAAGAAACATAAAAACAAATTATCTATT